CATTAACCTATATGCACCATTTTAAGATTTTAGCTTCACCTGGGCATTGAATCATTAGTCGTTCACTCACTGAAATATTTTCAAAATACATGTTTCGAAATGAATGCAGTGTTCACTTAAATGGTCGCTACTCAGTGATAAGATGCTAAATCAGCGATAAGATGCTAAAAATTAAATTAAATGGACCGTACTATTAATTCAAATAAATGTATCTGAATTTTATATGTATGTATTTATACATTGAATCATTGTATAGAGGGTATATTAAGTTAGTCATCCCGTTTGTAACACCCCGTCTGTGAGATGTTTTTCTTATTTTAGTCACAAGGCAACAACCTTGCAATGAACTGTCTATATAGTTTCAAGTTTTGGTATAGTTCCCATTTGACCGTACCTCCAAATATTCTGTATTTTAAGGATTTTTGCTACATTTATCGCCTTTGTATTTAGTATTCGTAATAGGAGCCGTCTTCTCTGGCAGATAATTTTATATGAAGCCCCCATATTACTCTACCTCCAAAAATTCGAATTTAGCTATTTTTTTACTTATTTATTTTTTTATACATATCTATAGCTCCTAAAAAATCGCCCTTTATAATGGATACAGGGATATTTTTCTTTGGTAATTTATAGTAACATTTGATGAAGAATTATTTTTATCTCTGATATTGTCCCTCTAAAATGATGCTTTGTTGTAGAATTTTCCATAAAATAACGTTAAGTACAGCTTTAACCCTAAAATGTGTTTTTATATCATCCGCCATTAAAGTTTGTCATTTTGTTTTTAACATAGAGCTTTGAAAGTTGGCACAATAGTTCGTATTATGACTAGGATGGTTGGTATTGAAAATGAGACATGGCCTCCACGTTTTCGTATAGCCGCCATATAAAGGTACCTCACGATATTCGGTATTTTGATGATGTGGTTAAAACCATATCGACGGATTTGTTTAACAATTGGTATTTGTGGTTCGTAATGGGTTTCTAGTTCCGGTTGCGGTATACTGTATATAATTCCACGTTTCCCCATAGCCCCCATATATAAACGTACCTTCCGATATTTTGCCACCTTTTTCCACGGAAGTGTTACAAATTTGATATTAAGAGTTTTTAATGGGTTCTACCTCTGACTGCATGGGTCTACATTTTTCTATAGCCTCCAGAGAAAAATTGGTATTTGTTGCTCCTTGATTCCAGATCCTGTGGCGGAACATTATATACATTAACGGTAATTTCGGTATTTTTATGATTTTAGTCACATTTTTCCATCGTTTTGTCTGAAAATTGGTATTTTTAGTTCAGGATTCAGAGCCATGTAGTTTTCCTATAGTGCACATATAACGGTACCTTTGGATGTTCGGCATTTTGACGATTTAAGTTACATTTTCCAACGGTATCACCCACTTTTTTGTTTTTTGTAAACTTTAACTGCTTTATCCAATCGATCTCACTGGTATTTTTAGTTGAAGATGGTACACATTGGAATCCAGATACTTTTGTAAAAAAAATTCTTTAGCTAATGGTGGAGGGTACTTAAAGTTCGTCCCGGAACAAAATAATATTTAACTTGTTAATATTTATGAATTTCTTGCATTTAGGCAAAATTTAGAGATTTTGACCAATAGTGAAATTTTTGACTAATAATTTTGAAGGGAGTTTTTAACCAAAAATTGAAAAAAGGACAATAAGTACCCTTATACTGACACGATTGAACGTTAAAATTATTGATAAAAATAATCCTCGTATTGCTAACAGTAATATTGCCGAAGACAATACATATCTGAAATGCAAGGATTCCTAAGAATCCTGATCCGATAATCCCTCCTTTTTGTATTACTTTGCGATATAAACTTTAAACTTTACATTGATGCGGATTTAAGATGTCGGAGATACAGCAAAATACACAGAAATTTAAATTTTTAATTGTTTCACTTGGTTTTTTATTTATTTATAAAGCATTGTACCAGTTTTTAATATATATTGCATTGTTGATATTGTTTTTGTTTTATCGATTTTAAAATGTCAAATTCAATAGGGCGAATAATTGTCAACGTTATGCATACGACACATAGTATTTCAAAATATATAGTCTCTCGGGATATGTTAATCAAACGAGTATTTTAGAAATTAGTTAACATTGGTATAATTAAAATTTATGTGTCCCCATGATGCGTGTATTGATTTGATATACATTTACGTTGTTTTTTTTTTCAGAAAATCTAAAGGGATTTTATTGAAAAAAACTTTTATGAACCACACTTCATTCATCTTAATTCATGTGGTATGGCCTATTGGCGATAAAAGTTAATCGTACACCATGCCTCTGACCTCAAGAGGAAGTTGTATTCAATAGCGTCCACCTACCACAGTCAAGGGTCGAACACCCCCCAGTTCGTATCCTTTGAAATTTTATTGAAATTTATTTACTTTGTCACTTTAGAAGTGATAGGTCGACAGTTGGGGACTAGGACATTTCACAATTTGGCACCTGTGACATGTTCATCGTTTTTCAAACGTTTTAAAGCAAAGCCAACTGGTCGGCAGTCCATTGGTCTGGCCGATTCTTAAAATGGCACAAAATTAAAATGACCCGTGTCAGTATTACAAATTTTCCACATGAGCGGCAGTAAAGACAACAATCAAAGCACAAAATTAAACACAGCATCAAGGATGGCAGCAAGCACCCAGTCATTCATTCGTTCATTCATCCTACCAATAGGCAGTGTGTTCTCCAAGTCTACCCAGTTTTTAGGCAAACTCACACTCGTGCACACGGGCACACGGGCACACTTTAGGCTTCTTTTAAAACACCATCGTCCATGCATCCACCCCTCACCCACTTTGTGAATACAAATATGGTAACTGCTCCATATATTCAGCCAAATTAGAGACAGCATTTCAAAAGTTAATGCTACAAATTAAATGTACTCCTCGGCTGCACACCTTTGGTGAAAGTGTCCCATTTTGTAGGCTGGGATTTTTTCTGTCTTTTCCATGTCACCGTCATGCTTAGCAAACAGCGGCAGCAACAGTCAGTCGACTGCAGAGGAGTATAGATACCTGAAACTTAAATGAAATGCTGGATGTGGTGTTTCTAAGCAATGCCCCTCTTCCACACACACACACATTACTAACACTCTTTCATTTGCCAACTGGTCTTTTCGGCGAATTCATTTGCAAGGAGAGAAATAGAGAGACAGGGGAGAGGAAGGAGCCCTTAATGTTTATGTAGAGGAAACGTGAGAGAAACATTTTTGAGTGAGTGGATTAGACTCTTGACAAACCGAAAGGTGATTTACTGCCTCAGATAAATACAAAGGTAAAACATAATACCAATACATACATAGATGCAGGCAGTGACACTAAATTGCCAAGACCAAAGAAAGCCTACATCGAGTTAGGCACGAACGAACGAATTTTCTAATATTGGCTACCGTGAATAGATAATTAAGTTTTGATAGGCTAGGTTTAAAACTATACCTTTATATACCCTTAGACATATGGCTAGAGAGGGTATATATCATTTGATACGGCCAAAACGTGCCTAGTCGAAATAACGGTTTTAGACCAAATCCGGACTGGACCAAATCCGTTTAAGGATATTTGGAGTCGATCTAGCGATGTCTGTCGGTCTGGCTGGTGCGCACGACTTGGTACATCGTAATATTTTTGTCAAAATTAGATCGAGTTCGGAGATGGGCGATATCGATCCACTCCTTCGGGTACCACCCCCACAAAAGGTCAATATTTTCAAAAAAAGTATTTTACTGCAGGGAAAGAGAAAGGTTAATCCGGGTTTTTTCCAACTATGTAAATCCTAATATTTGCATCAGTGCTAGGCTAGGTGCAAAAAAAGACAATATCGGTCCACTCCATTAAGTATTTTACCCACAAAAGATCAATAATAATGAATAATTAAACTCTTATAAAATATGATCTAAGAGTCCGAGTGTCTTCATGTTTCTTCACCGGCCCACTCGTTCTGGTACCTTCTAGAAGCTCAATCATTCTAGTACCCATGTAGCTCATAAAACGCGAAATTAGCATCCGATCCCATTCAGACTTGACACATCTTAAAAATTCTATCAAAACAAGGACTGTTATAAGGTTGGCGGAGATCGGACCATACCTTCTGGTATCTCATATTGCACAGATTCTATTATTTCTAATAACTGGCTTCTGATGTGGAGATGGGATATATCGGCCCACTCCTTCTGGTACCACCCCACAAAAGGTTAAAATATTGAATATATTAGATATTGGATAAAAGATCAACATAAGATCTTTTATAAAGATGATAGAGATCGGATCACTTCTTCTGGTACCTCCCTTATATACGGTTTAAGATTTTGTTATACAAAACTCTCAAAGAAAGCAAAATAAGCATCAAACTTTAACTCTCTTTAAATTTAACACATACTAAAATTTTTGCAAACACATGATCTGTTGTGAAGACCACTCCAATATTGGTCCAGAAGGAGTGGACCAATATTGCCCATCTCCGAACTCGATCTAAGTTTGGCAAAAATATTACAAAAATATATTATGTACCAAGTTTGGACCAAATTGGATGCTCCCTTCGAGAGTTATCGTGCGCAGCAGCCAGACAGACATACGGACGAACATCGCTAGATCGACTTCAAATGTTCTGAAACGAATTTGATCCAAAGATACCTAGGGTCTAAAACCGTTATTTCGACTATGCACGTTTTCACCGTATTAAATTATATATACCCTCTGTAGCCATATGGCTGAGGGTATAATTAGCATTTGCCCGTAGATAGAAGACAAAACTGAGAATACAAATATTATACATATAATTAATGGGAATTTCGTTCTCACCATACATCTAAAATCAACTTTGGTTTGAGAATTCAAAATCTAATATAGTTTTTTAGCATATCATACAAAAAATGCGAAAAGCCGACACTGGTTTTGACACGTATCTCTTAAATTCATATATTTACCAAGTAATATGTTTGTTTTTCCTATATTTACAGAGTCCGAAATTGGGCATTGAAGTTTGGAGTGGATTTATGGGAATTCGGAAGACAGTTTACCAAAATGAATGATATTAAAAGTGTAAGTACATAAATAAATACATATGATACGTTCTTTCGTCAATTTCTGTTAATAAAAAGTTCTTAAAAATAAAAAAAAAATAAGTAAATAAATGAATAAATAGTTTTCTCCTCCCTGCCGACAACATGCATTATTTTATAGTACTCTCCATTGGTACCATTCAATTAATTTTTTTTGTGTATCAGACAATGGAACTCTGACCGTATAAAAACCAGTATGGTATGGACAAAAGTCAGATGCGACAAAAACAAGGCAAAACTAAAAAAAAAACAAGTAAAAAAGCAGCTATGTTAGTCCAGGACGAGTTTTAATAACCTCCACCATTTGGAAGAAAATTAAAAAAATCGAAGACGTGTCCCTTAATAAATATTTTTTCATAGCATCGATTTTGAACTTCAAATACGAAATTTGAAACAATCCCGGTGTGTAAGGGCGCTAAAATCATAAAAATACCGAATATAGAGAGGAATCGTTATAAAAGGGGCTATCCGAAGACGTTGAAAAATTGCGGTAAAAATATCTCTAAAATCATCAAAATACCGAATTTTGGGAGGTACAGTTATATAGGGTCATATAGCCCCCACGTGGACCGACGTGGAATTTTAGCCTTCTATCTCAATTCGTTGCTAAAATAACGTGATTACAATAGACAGACACACAGATAGAGGGACATCGCTTTATTGACTTAGAATTTTATGCTGATCAAGAATATGTATACTTTCTTGGGTCTGACATTAGTATTTCGAGGAGTTACAAGCGGAATGACAAGATAAAAAAACAGTAAGTTTGGCCGGGCCGAAGTTTGAATAAAATCCATTATAAATTCTGTAAAAATATAAAAAATGCCGTTATATGTTATTCCCGTTATACGAAGACTTTTACCTGCATAAACAATTTTCTGTCACAGGCAGTAGTAGGGGGCTATAGGAAGACGTGGAGCTGCATAGACAATTTTCTGTCACAGGTCGTAGGAACTTCAAATACGACATTTTAAACAATTCGGTGAACATTGTACCTAAAATCGTCAAAATTCCGAATATAGAGAGGTACCGAGATATGGGTGCTATACGAAGACCTGGGCCTGCATAGACAATTTTGTGTCATAGACTGTAAGAACTTCAAATACAACATTTTAAATAATTCGGTTAGTATTGTAACTAAAATCGTTAAAATTCCGAATATAAAGAGGTTCCGAAATATAGGGGCTATACGAAGACCTGGACCCGCATAAACAAATGTCTGCCATTGGGTAAAGTACTCAGAAGGAACTCATTGTGAGGATTTTCAGACAATTCAATTGAAAATTGTGGGGTACAATCATCAAAACACCGAAACCCCCAATTCCGTTCTATGGAGGCTACATGATATCGTGGTCCGATATAGCCCATCCTCGAACTTGACCTGCGTGCAGACGGAAGACTGATCTGTGTAAATTGTTAGCTTCCCATATTAATTCGTTTTGAATCTAGCGTCATTACAACAGACGGACGGACAGGGCTAAATCGTCACAGAATCTTACGCTGATCAAAAATATATATACTTTGTTTGGTCTAAAATTATTATTTTGATGAGTTACAAGCGGAATGACAATCTTAATATACCCTCCATACTATGTATAGTGGGGGGTATACAAAATTGTCGAATTTAGTTTTGTATGTTTTCAATTTATGATCCATTCTCTACAAGAACAATTACATTGTACTACTCCAAGATTTTCTGAAGATCAGCTGAAACTTTCAAGCAATCGGCATGATAACTTTAACGGTATTTGCGATTATTATTTTACGGCAAAAATAAATGTATAACCTATTTCCTTACAACCAGTTCATTAACCCAAATCGATATTTATTTATTGCCCGTGGAATGTAAGACAACATTTCTGCGACTATTCAAAAGATTGATGGCATTTTTCTAATAATGCTAAAATTACACCGCATCCGCCTCCTTCTCGACGTGGGGTTCATTACCTCTTGTATTTATATTGATATCCCTGAAACGTTTATCTATCTGTGGCGTACAACATTTTATTTGGATATTAGTATTTTATTTCGAGTTATATTACAATAATATAGATAGACATATCGAAAACGTAGAGAAATAGCAGCAGCAACAACAATAATATATTGTACAGGATTTGTTGTTTATGTGTGTGTGTGTGTTTTTTTTTTGTATTGCAAAAACCGCCATATAACCATTGTGTTTCCTTTGTGTTCATTCAAACAATTTATCTTTCATCCTACCATACATTTACTCAACGACACACTCATTTACTGACAAACAAGCAGCCCGGCTGGCTGGCAGGCTGGCTGGCTGGCAGGCAAACTGACACAGGCACGCATCACCCATTATTCATTCTAATCTTTCAATTTCCCCACCAACACCTTTGTCAACAATAAATTCCCTTCGACAGCCAGCCTTCTCCAGTCATTTGGTAGACGACAGTTTATTCATTTTGCCCCATTTGTGTGAGTGTGTGTGTGTTTTTTGAATTCGTTGTTGTTGTTGCTGCTTCTGCTGCCGTTGTTGTTATTTTTTTATGCAGCGAATGAATGACAAGTACCATTTCAGTTTTAATTAGGTTTATGTAGAGCTTAAATATCTCTACATGAACGGGACTAAAAACACATACTTATGTAAGGCTGAAATTACACTCAACCTATGTGGATGTGTGTTTATGCACAATGTTGTCGAATTTTTTCCAAATTCGAAATTTGGTCGGTTTTATTAATTCGAATGAAATTTAAACAATTCACGAAAATTTTTGAGTAAATTACATTCGATTGGTAAGATTAAAAAAATTGTTAAAACATTAAATTTGAAAAATATTTAAGGTTTTGAAAATGGTGTGGCACGATGCAATTCAGCAACATTTTCGGATATAATTTGAAACATTATAACTGCAATTCGTAGCGTTGTATTTGTAATTCGAGAATTCTATTTGTAATTCATAAAATGTCAATGGAAATTCGTGAATTCCATTTGTAATTTGAAACATTTCTATTGTAATATGGGATTTTTATTTGTAATTCGTAAAATTCGATCTGAAATTCGAATTATTTTATTTTTAATTCGATTTTTTCTATTTTTATTAGAATTATTCTATTTGAAAATCGAATTATTGTACTTTTAATTCAAATAATTTTATTTGTATGAAGCCAATGCAAAAATGTTGGCAATATTTATTTGCTTCGAATTCCAAAAAGAATAACCCGAATTACAAATGGAATAATTCGAATTTCAAATGAAATAATTCAAAATTAAAATGAAATGTACCGAATAACAAATGGAATTCAATTAATTAATTTCAAATTAAATTTTACGAATAACAAATGGAAATATCGAATTAAAATTGAAATATTACGAATTACAAAAAGAATTCTCGAACTTCAAATAAAAGTGTGCAGTCGTTAATTTTATTATACCCTCCACCATAGTATGGAGGGTACATTAAGGTTGTCATTCCGTTTGTAACACCTTGAAATATATATTTTAGACCCCACAAAGTATATATTCTTGATCAGCATAAAATTCTATGTCGATTTAGTGATGTTCGTCCATCTGTGGAAATCACTCTAGCTTCCGAATGAAACGAAGTAGGTTGATAACATTTTACTCAAATGTATATTATATCTGCCGAATTTTTGGTATTGAAAATGAGCCATGTAGGTCCACGTTTTGGTATAGCCCCCATATAATGATACCTCCCTATTTTCGGTATTTTGGTGATTTAAGCGACATTATTCACCGGAATTGTTTCAAATTTGGTATTTGAAGTTCGTAATGGATACTACAGCCTAAGACAGTGAATTGTCTGTGCAGATCCAGGTCTTCGAATATCAACCGTATAACGGTACCTCCTTATATTCGGTGTTTTGATAATTATAGCTACCGATTTTTTTTAAGTTTCGCATTTGAATATTGTAATGGGTTAAGACAATGGCTTATACCTACGCAGGTCCACGTCATCGTATGACTATATTCGGTATTTTTGAGATTTTAAAAGAATTTTTAGCGGATTTTATTTTTTTGAAAATTGCCAAATTCGTTCCAAATGGTGTCTCGGGCGAACTTACAGCTTTTTTACTTCTCTTTTTTCATATATTTTTCTGTCAAATTCTGTGGAAATTCAAAAATAGATATGGCAACACTAACCACGCTCTCAAAATAAATAGAGAAAATACAAATACACTTAAATATGGACTTGTCTCATTTGTTTAATTAGTTTCTGGATGGGAAAAAATTAATATATTTAAACAATTAAATGGCCTGTAGGGAAAGGATCTAGTTAATAACTATTACTACAGAAGTACTTATTAAACGATATAACATGGAGCAGGAAAACGAATAAGTCGGTTTTTTGCTCTAATTTACCACTAACAATAGGCGCACAGTGATTCAATATGGTTTTTCGTTGTCAAAATTCTAGAAATATGAACACTGGATTGTAAAGGGTGAATTTTTAAAAGCTATAGGAACGTTAAAAAAATAAAATAAATAAATGAATAAAAAAACACATAAAATTTATTTGAATTAACAGTGCGATCCATATAATTTAAAATTTGAAAATTTCTTATTCCATTGGTATATTCTTTCTGACATTACGGTTAGTATCTCTTGAATAAATATTGCAATATTGTCTTACTATGTGTCATTTGAAGCGGACTCGTTTGTATAAACATGAGCTTTAACATAGATTCCTTGGAATGATTGCATTTTAGATATATTGTGCCTCAAGCAATATTAGATATACCAATACGAGGAATATTTCAGTAGAAAATTTTAATCCACAAAGGGATCTTTTTGGTCCATTTTTAAAATACAGTTAAAATCTCCCTGTAGCGAGTCAAAATATTCCACAAATTTTTTTGTCATCAAAAGTCTTCGTCTAACCCTAAAGTCAGGAATTCGTAATGATTCCTCCAGCCCAAAGACCACACCACACAGTAAAAAGTTGAGGATGCATTTGCTTCTCGTGAATCACTTAAGGATTTTCCTCACCT